GGCGATCGGGGCTTTTTTGCGCAAAAGCGCGTCTAGATTGGCACGGACACTTTTCCGCAAAAAGTGCTTTTGCAGAAAAGCGTCCGTGCCAATCTAGACACTCTTTTCCGAAAGTGCTTTTAACGGAAAACTTTTCCGTTAAAAGCATTTGCGGAAAATCATGCCCGTCTAGACGTAGCCTAAATGTCTTGCAAGAGCCCAGGAAGCAGCGGCAGTGCTGGTGGTGCTGCTAGACAATACTGACCTCCCATAGTCCAGCAAATTCTCTGGTTCGGCACTGGTCAGGTCCCGGAGTGCCAGACTAGAGAGGTTCGACCTGTGGGCTAGTGCCATGAAGGCCCTTTCCCTTGTGAACGGGCATGCAAGCCCGCAGAGTGTAGGTTCACAGCAGAGACCCCAGAAGGGTGGGGTAGTGCCTCTGTTGGCAGGGTTATGCCAGCACCTAAGGGACAGGTAGGGGTGCATGCCTGAGTATGGCACTGACAAGCAGAGAGGGTTGTGTGGCCAACATGGCACTGACAAGCAGAGAGGGTTGTGCAGCTGGTGTGGGACTGACAGGTAGAGAGGGTTGTGCGGCCGGCATGGCACGGATGAGCAGAGAGAGTTGTGTGGCCGATGTGGCACTGACAGGCAAAGAGGGTTGTGCAGCCCGCGTGACACTGACAGGCAGAGAGGGTTGTGTGACCATTGTGGTGTTGACAGGTGGAAAGGGTTCTGCGGCCGGTGTGGTGCTGACAGGCAAAGAGGGTTATGCACCAGTGTGGCACTGATGAGCAGAAAGAGCTGTGTAGCAGAGGCGTAGCGTGGGTGTTTTGCGCCTGGGGGCAAAGCCCAAATTTGCACACACACCCCAATCATTTGTTACTGTGGATCTGTTATTATTTCGAAATCAGCAAAAAAATAAGAACATAAGAAAAAAAATCACAAACACTACTAATAGCCACAGATCCTTGGATTAATGAGTTGATCAGTTAGGGTATGTCTACACTACCACCCTAGTTCGAACTAGGGTGGTAATGTAGGCAACTGGAGTTGCAAATGAAGCCCGGGATTTGAATTTCCCGGGCTTCATTTGCATAAAGCCGGGAGCCGCCATTTTTAAATGTCCGCTAGTGCGGACTCCGTGCCGCACGGCTACACGTGGCACGGACTAGGTAGTTCAGACTAGGCTACCTAGTCCGAACTACCGTTACTCCTTGTGAAATGAGACATACCCTTAGTAGACCATAGTAGACCATAGTAGAACTACCATGATGCTGTCTGGAGTAAGCTGGATGAAACATTGGACTGAAAAGTCATATAAACATTCAACACCAGAAGCAACAGGACATTACAATTAAAGACTTTTGTTAAGAAAGTTTAATTTTTCTTGCCTTAGCTATAGTGAACTGATTAATTATGTCATCAAAATCTATTTTTTGAGGGTCTCTCTCTCCACACTTAGAAGGGCCAGATCACTTAGTCTGTTCTGGCCCATTGATGCTCGAAGGTAAGACAGAATCAACTTTAATTTGCTAAACGAGCATTCACAGCTGGCAATAGATACAGTGACAGTGAGAAGTATTTGAAGAGCAACCCGCAAGTTGGGAACCACATCGTCACCATAAGTCATAACACACAGAAATAGTTTTAAATCAAAGTAACACACAACTGGAGAATCGCCCTCACTTTTTTGTGGTGCTGACAGGCGGAGAGGGCGGTGGGGCCTAGCGCTGACAGGCGGAGAGAGCAGTGGGCAGGGGTGGCGCTGAAAGGCGGAGAGGGCTGTGGGGCGGGGGTGGCGCTGACAGGCAGGGGCGGTGGGGCCTAGCGCTGACAGGCGGAGAGAGCAGTGGGCAGGGGTGGCGCTGAAAGGCGGAGAGGGCTGTGGGGCGGGGGTGGCGCTGACAGGCAGAGAGGGCGGTGCGGCAGGGGTGGCGCTGACAGGCGGAGAGGGTGGTGGTGACAGGCGGAGAGGGCATTGGGCGGGGGTGGAGCTGACAGGCGGAGAGG